CACCTGACCCAAGCCATGGTATTTTCCATTGCCTCCCATGCATGTGAAAATTGGACATTGAATACAAAAGACCAAAACAGAATTAATGCATTTGAATTGTGGTGCTGGAAAAGAATATTGAAAGTACTTTGGACTGGTAAAAGGATAAACGGGGTCTGTTTTGGAAGACGTACAGCCAGAGTTCTCCTTAGAGGCAATGTTGAAGGCCTTTGTCATACATACTTTGCACATGTTTCCAGGAGAGACCAGCCCCTGAGAGACCTAGAAAGACATGCCTGAAGGATATAGTAGCTGCAACAATGGGCTCAGGCGTAGGGACAATTGTGAGGGTGGCACAGGACTGGGCAGTGTTTCATTCTGTTGTGCAGAGGGTCACTGTGGGTCAGAACTGACTTTATGGCACCTAACAACAACAACAACAACAACAACGCTGTATCAATCCATCTCATTGAGACCTTTCTCGTTTCTCCTCTACCACGCTTAATGTCCTTCTCTAGGAACTGGTCTCTCCTGACAGCACATCCAAAGTATGTAAGAAGTCTCACCATCCTTGCCTGGCCATACTTCCAAGACTTTGCCCTTTTGGCGGCAGTCACTGTGCTTTCAGTATTCCTCACCAACCCCACAGTTCAAATGTGCCAATCCTTCTGTGGTCGTCCTTAGTCAATGCCCAACTTTCACATGCATGGAGATGATTGAAAATACCACGGCTTGGGACAGGTGCACCTTAATTTTCAAAGTAACACCTGTGCTTTTCAACACTTTAAAGAGGTCTTGTGTACCACATTTACCCAATGCAGCGTCTCATTTGATCTCTTGACTGCTGTTCCCAGGAGTGTTGATTGTGGATCCAAGCAAGGAAATCCTTGACAACTTCAATCTTTTCTCCATTTATTATGCAGTTACCTATTGGTCCAGTTGTGAGAATTTGGGTCTTCTTTTCTTTGAGCTGTAATCCATACTGCCGGCTGGTAATGGTAGAGAGGCAGAGGTAGAAAACATTTTCACTGTATA